TTGATTTTCAAGTATTAAGCCAATCATCCTTATCTGGAATAAATCCCACATGGGCATCATGTAATAATCTTTTCATACACTGCTAGATTTTATTTACTTTTGTTAAAATTTTTGTGTCAAAATTTGTAAGAGATGTTGGTGTATAATTTTATTGTCTTGTAATTTCTTCCTAAGTTTGGATGTTAGGGATATGCTGGCCTCATAAAGTAAACTGTGAACTTTTGCCTTCTCCTCTGTTTTCTGAAAGATTTTAAGTAAGACTGATATTTCCTTTTCTTTAAATATTGATTGAATTCAACAAGCCTTCTGAACCAGATATTTTCTTTATGGGAGAGTTTTTAATGACAAATTATTTTAAAATCTGTTATTATTTATTTTTATTATACTATATTTTTTAATATTTTACAGTTTTTATATTAATAGATTATTTAATTAGTACTACGTTAATTATTACAGAGCTATTCAGATGTCTTCTTTCTTCATATCTTAGTTACAGTAAACTGTCTTTCTTAAAGAACTCTTTGTTTCTAATCTACATTTTTGAATGTATTGGCATAGAGTGTCTCATACTAGTTCCACTCTATCACTTTAATAACAGGATCTGTAGTAATATCACTCCTTTTTTTCTTAATACTGATAATTTGTTATTTTTAATTATTTCACTGACGTCGTATTGGCTTATAACATTGTGTAAATTTCAAGTGTACGTGATTATATTTCAGCTTCTGTATAGACTGTATCATGTTCACCAGCAATAGTCTTGTTTGTATCCGTCACCATAGATATGTGCCCCTTTACCCCTTTTGCCCACCCTCCAGCCCCCTTGCCCTCTGGTAACCACTAATTTGTTCTCTTTATGCATGTGTTTGTTTATATTCCACGTATGAATAAAATAATGTGGTTTTTATCTTTCTCTGTCTGGCTTATCTCACTTAACATCATAGCCTCAAGGTCCATCCACGTTGTTGCAAATGGGATGATTTTATCTTTTTTTTGTTGGCTGAGTAGTATTCCGTTATATCTATACCACATCTTCTTTAAACATTCATCAGTTGATGGGCACTTGGGTTGTTTCCACATCTGGGCTGTTGTGAATAATGCTGCAGTGAATATAGGGGCACATAAATCTGAATTATGATTTCAAATTTTTTAGATAAATACCCAGTATTGGGATAGCTGGATTGTATGGTATTTCTGTTTTTAATTTTTTGAGAAATCTCCATACTGTTTTCTATAGTGGCTGCACCAGTTTGCATTCCCACCTGCAGTGAATGAGAGTTCCCTTTTCTCCACATTCTCGCCAACATTTGTTATTTTTTGTCTTGGTAATTATAGCCATTCTGACAGGTGTAAGGCAATATCTCACTGTTGTTTTGATTTGTATTTCCCTAATAATTAGTGATTTAGAACATCTTTTCATGTGTCTGTTGGCCATCTGTATATCTTCTCTGAAAAAAATGACTGTTCATATCCTCTGTCTATTTTTTGACTGTGTTGTTTGTTTTTTTGTTGTTGAGTTATATGAATTCTTTATATATTTGGGAGATTAACTCCTTGTCGTATATGTGATTTGCAAATATTTTCTCCCGGTTGGTGGGTTGTCTTTTCATTTTGTTCATGGTTTCCTTTGCCTTGCAGAAGCTTTTTTGTCTGATGTAGTCCCATTTGGTAATTTTTTCTTTTGATTCCTTTGTCTGAGTAGACATGTTATTCAAAAAAGATGCTGCTAAGATGTATGTCAAGGAGTGTACCACCTCTATATTCTTCTAGGAGTTTTATGGTTTCAGGTCTTACATTCAAGTCTTTAATCCATTTTGAGTTAATTTTTGTGTATGGTGCAAGATAATGGTCTACTGTCAGTCTTCTGCACATGGCTGTCCAGTTTTCCCAACACCATTTATTGAAAAGACTTTCCCTTCTGCATTGTGTTCTTGGCTCCCTTGTTGAAGATTAACTGACTGTAGATGTGTGGTTTTATTTCTGGGCTTTCAATTCTGTTCTATTGATCTGTGTGTCTGTTTTTGTACCAATACCCTGCTGTTTTGATTACTATAGCTTTGTAGTATATTTTGAAGTCTGGGATTGTGATGCCTGCAGCTTTGTTCTTTTTACTCAGGATTTCTTTGGCTGTTTGAGGTCTTTTGCTGTTCCACATAAATTTTAGGATTCTTTGTTCTATTTCCATGAAGAATCTCATTGGGATTCTGACTGTGATTGCATTGCATCTGTAGATTTCTTTAGGTAATATGGATATTTTAACTATGTTTTTTCTTCCAATCCATGAGCATGGTAGATCTTTCCATTTCTTTATGTCGTCTTTGATTTCTGTCAATAGTGGTTTATGGTTTTCAGTGTATAGGTCTTTCATCTCGTTGGTTAAATTTATTCCTAAATATTTTATTCCTTTTGTTGCAATTGTAATAGGATTGTATTCTTGACTTCCTTTTCTGCTAGTTCATTATTAGTGTTAGAAATGCAGCTGATTTTTTGTAAGTTGATTTTGTACCCTGGAACTTTGCTGTAGTTGTTGATTATTTCCAATAGTTTTCTGATGAATTCCTTAGGGTTTTCTATATATAGAATCATGTCATCTGCAAACAACAAGAGTTTCATTTCTTCCTTTCCAATTTGGATTCCTTTTGTTTCTTTTTCTCACCTCATTGTTCTGTCCAAAACCTCCAGTACTATGTTGAATAGGAATGACAAGAGTGAGTACACTTGTCTTATTCCTGTTCCTAGAGGAATGACTTTTAGTTTTTCACCATTAAATATGATGTTGGCTGTGGGTTTGTCAACTATGTCCTTTGTTATGTTGAGGGGTTTTCCTTCTATACCCATTTTATTGAGAGTTTTTATCATAAATGGATGTTAGATTTTGTCAAATGCTTTCTCTGCATCTATTGAGATGATCAGGTGATTTTTACTCCTCATTTTGTTAATGTGGTATATCACATTGATTGATTTGTGGTTGTTTGACCATCCCTGCATCCCTGGTATGAATCCCACTTGATCACAGTGTATGATCCTTTTAATGCATTGCTGTTTTCAGTTTGCCAATATTTTGTTGAGGATTTTTACGTCCATATTCATGAGCAATATTGGCCTGTAATTTTCCTTCTTTGTGCTGTCCTTGCCTGGTTTTGACATTGGGGTAATGTTGGCCTCATAGAATGAGATAGGAAGCATTCCATCTGCTTCAATTTTTTGGAATAGGTTGCAAACGATAGCTATTAAATCTTCTTTCAATGTTTGGTAAAATCCTGCAGAGAAACCATCTGGTCCTGGACTTTTATTTTATGGGAGGTTTTTGATTACTGCTTTGATCTCTTAACTTGTGATGGGTCTATTCAGATTCTTTATTTCTTCTTAATTCAGGTTTGGGAGTTTGTATGAATCTGAGAATTAATCCATTTCTTCTAGGTTATCTAATTTGTAGTCATAGAGTTCTTCATAGTATTCTCTTATAATCCTTTGGATTTCTGTAGTATACATTGTAATTTCTCTTCTTTAATTTCTAATTTTATTAATTTCAGCCTTCTCTCTTTTTTTCTTAGTAAGTCTGCCTAAGGGTTTGTCAATTTTGTTTACCTTCTCAAAGAACTAGCTCTTAGTTTCATCGAGCTTTTCTGCTGTTTTCTTTAATTTTTATTTCATTCAGATTTTTATGATTTCCCTTCTACTGACCTTGGGTTTCATCTGTTCTTCTTTTTCTAGATCTGTTAGATGTAGTTTAAGATTACTTATTTGATGTTTTTCTTGTTTGTTGAGGTAGGCCTGTATTGCTATGAATCTCCCTCTTATAATCACTTTTGCTGCATCCCACTAGACTTGGTATGTTGTATTTTCACTTTCATTTATCTCCAGGCATTTCTTAACTTCTCTTTAGATTTCTTCATTGATCCAATGGTTGTTCAGTAGCATGCTGTTAAGTCTCCACATATGTGTCACTTTCATAATTTTTTTCTGGTAGTTGATTTCTAGTTTCATAGCATTGTGGTGAGGAAAAAAGCTTGATATGATTTCAATCTTCTTAAATTTTTGAGGTTTGCCTTGTTTCCCAACATATGGTCTATTTTTGAAAATGTTCCATGTGCACTTGAGAAGAATGTGTATTCTGCTGGTTTTGGATGGAAGGTTCTTGCTATATATCTATTAAATTCATCTAATCAAGTGTTTCATTTAAGTCCATTATTTCCTTGTTGACTTTCTGTCTGGATGATCTATCCATTGATGTAAGTGAGGTTTTAAGGTTCTTTACTATGTTTGTGTTGTTAATTTCTCACTTTTGGTCTGTTAGTACTTGCTTTATATACTTTGGTGCTCTTGTGTTAGGTGCACATATGTTTATAAGTGTTATGTCCTCTTGGTGGAATGTCCTTTTTATCATTATATACTGCCCCCTTTGTATCTCATTGTGTTTTTTATCTTGAAGTCTGCTTTGTCTGATACAAGTATGCCAACATCTGCTTTCTTTTGTTTGCCATTTGCTTGGAGTATCCTCTTCCATCCTCTCACTCTGAGCCTATGTTTGTCTTTAGAACTGAGATGTGTTTCCTAGAGGCAGCATATTGTTGGGTCTTGTATTCTAATCCATCCAGCTACTCTGTGTCTTTTGATTGGGGAATTAAATCCATTTACATTTAGAGTGATTATTGATATATGAGGACTTAATACTACCATTCTATCTCTTCCGTCTGGTTGTTCTATATTTCTGTTTTTTTCTCTTCCTTTATGTTTCTGACTGCCATTTCATTTTGGTGGTTTTCTGTGGAGGTTTTCTCTCTTTTTATGAATTGTGGCTCTGCTTTGATTTTTTTTTAGTGGTTTCTGTGAGGTTTGTATAAAAGATCTAGTAAATGAGATAGTCCATTTTCTGATAGCTTCTTGTCTCCATTAGCCTAAGTAGGTTCCATTCCCCGCTTCTTCCCCTTCTGAGTTATTGTTGTCATAAACTATTATGTTCTGTGTTGTGAGTTAAGACTAAGTTGAAATGTTTATAGTTACTTTTGATGCTTTCCTTCCTTTTATCTTTTAAGTTATAGTTAAATATTTACTAGTCTGTTCTGAAAGAGAACTGCAGTTTTCTAATTTTGTCTATTTATCTCTTTGCTCAAAGCTTGTAGACCTTTGCCTTTTTCTTTCAGGTATGAGGATACTTAACTGTTCTTGTAGGGGAGGTCTAGTGCTGATGAACTCCCTCAGCTTTTGTTATTCTGGGAAAGTTTTATTTCTCCATCATATCTGAAGGATAGTTTTGCTGGATAGAGTATTATTGGCTGAAAGTTTTTGTCTCAATATTTTCAATATATCATTCCATTCTCTCCCAGTCTGTAATGTTTCTGCCAAGAAATCTGCTTAAAGCCTGACAGGGGTTCCTTTGTAGGTTATTTTCTTCTGCCTTGCTGCCCTTAGTATTTTTTCTCTGTTGTTGACTCTTGCCAGTTTAATATTATATGCCTTGGAGAAGGTCTTTTAGCATTGCTGTAATTAGGAGTTCTATTGGCTTTATGTATTTGTAAATCCAGTTCTTCCCTCAGGTATGGGACGTTCTCAGTGATTATCTCTTTGAACGAGCTCTCTGCTCCTTTCTCCCTCTCATCTCCCTCTGGAATACCTATAATCCTTATGTTGCTTTTCCTAATTGAGTCGGATATTTCTTGAAGAATTCCTTCATTTTTTCTTAAATCTTAGTTCTCTCTCCTTTTCTAGGTCTGTATATTTCTATCTGTATATTTGTATATTTGTATCTTCTAAATCACTAATTCTTTCCTCCATAATGTCAGCTCTATTTTTTAAGGTTTCTAGATTATTTTTATCTCATTAATTGTGCTCTTCATATCCAGAATTTCTGCTTTTTTTAATAGCTTCATTCTGTTTTGTGAAATATTCCTTCTTCTCATTAATTTTATTCCTGAGCTCATTGAACTGTCTTTCTGAGTTTTCTTGTAACTCATTGAGTTTCTTTATGACAGCTATTTTGAATTCTCTGTCATTTAGATTGTAAATTTCTGTGACTTCAGGGTTGGTTTCTGGAGATTTGTCATTTTCCTTCTACTTTGAATTGTTGGTGTAGTTTCTCACGGTGTTTGAGGTACTAATCTTTTCCAGTGTTTTTATGGTAGTATCAAGCCAGACATTCCACCTGCTACCACTGGAGGGGTGCAGAAGCTCCATTTCTGATCCCACATCATCTACTGGAAGTTGTGTGAGTACAGTGGGTGCTCCCACCAGCCAGGAATGTGTTCACATGCTGGCTTAGGGCTGCTGATGTGCCAAGGTGCATTCCCATTTGTGGGGTGATAGCAGTACCATGGGTGCTCACGCTGGCCAGGAAATCGTTCAGACACACACACAGGGCTTCTGGGTATGGGAATGTTCACGGATCTCCACCAATTCCTGGGGATCTAGTCCACCAACCTTCAGATGTATAGCTGCATGGGTCTCTCAGGCATCCTGTTGTGCTGTGTGGGTATCCTCCATTGGTCAATGAATGTAAATTTAGTTGTAGTTCAAAGGGAAGGAGATAAAGTATACAGCTCACTCCGCCATGTTGCTGTTGTCATACTCTAAGTTATTTCTTAAGTAATAATTCCACCAATGTCTAATGAAAGGGAACAAAATTTGACACTCCAAATTGTGCCTTTTTAACATGAGAATTATTTTTAAGAAATAAAAGTGTCAGAAAGTTTTTCTTGTTACCTCCCCATTAACTGCCTAAAAGAATTTACATAAGTGGCCTGTAACAGGACAGAGTTATCATGAGAGATAGCTACAAAGAATATGAGCTAAGTGTGGTGGGGGAGAGAGTAGGGCCTAGACATCAGAGTCCCCTCCATGTACCATTGTCTCTGCATGGCATGGAAGACATTTGTTTTGTCATCCAAGAAAAAATCACTACAATTTAAACAGCAAATATCTATTTGTGCAATTAGAATCACAATTCAGGAGACACAGATTCAGGCAGAAACATAAAAATGTGTTCCAAGGAAAACAAAGGTTGCAAGAGTTTATAAAGGCAAAAAGAGATAAATCACATAGGTTCTTTTGAAAAATTCGTGATTGGTGCTGGCAACAGCTGTTATTTCTTGGCTATACGTGATTGGTTGCCAAGGACATCGCTGTAGTAAGAAGTGCTTATCTATGGGAGAAGCATATTTCTTTTAAGAAGATCAAGATGACAACAGTGAGGCACAATTCAAAAGTTACATTTAATCTGGTTAGAGACATGGTGTTTGTATGCATAAGCCCCATTTCCTTAATGTACTCCAAGGTCCATTTTAGAAACCTTGATATATGTTATTCTATTTTGTTGTTGCTGTCCACAACTTACCACACATTTGCTTTTCCTTCTCCATGTGAATTTCCTTCCTTCCCTTTGAAGACCCAAACCACTACCCCCAACATCCTCTTTTGCCTTTAGCTGAAAATGCTATTTAAGGTGGTGACTTTGGGCATTTTGATGAGTTCTCAGTTTTTCTGGTTTTCTCCCATGTATATGTGTTATTAAACTTTGATTTTCTCCTGTTATTCTGTCTTATGTCAATTTAATTCTTATACCAGCCAAAAGAACCTAGAAGGTTAGAGGAAAATTTATTCCTTTCCTACACTACTAAATACCAAGGGCTGTGCTAAACACTAAGTTTAGAAAGAGTAGAAAGAAGCTCAAACTCTAGAGAACAAAACATGTAAACCAAATTTACATGTAGTGTGTGATAATTCTCTTGTAAGAGAAAGTACGGGGACTGAGTGAGCCTCATTAAATCCACTGTATCTATATTTGCACTGCTTATGACCTTGCTCACTCTGTGCACCAGAATGTTGGCTAAAAGAATCAGGTAGGACTGAGGCAATGAGACTATATATCTAGGAAAATATGTCAAGTGGTTTTTGACTCAGAAATTTATGAAGATATAAAAAAGGATTGAACTTGAGCCTATATAATGAGCACCACATATCATACCTAGTGTTTTTGGTATCAGCTTATCCTAACACCTCAATAAGAAGCTGATGAGAATTCTTGTACAGTCAGAGAATATTCTGAAGATCATATTGCTTAATAGATGTCATCTCTTTTAGCAATCATTAGATAATAAGGAGAATATAAACACAGCTGAAAGGTGCCTGTTCTTAGACCATTTCCATTTAATATTGCTATTTTCTCCAGTTTATTATGTTGGGGCCCTTATTATCAGATAGAAAGTAGGTGAAGACACTCTTTGCCATGCATTTACTCAAAGTTCTCCTTAAAAGCAACCTCTACAAAAATTATTTTAGGAAGGCTTTGATTTTCCCTAATATGTTCTGAAAATGCTCCCTAAAGTTTTAATTACTATCCTGCAATGCATGTTCTGTGCTTCTTTACTTTTCTACCTTGCTTAATGACTAATCATCTAGAAGAAAACATTGCCAACACAGGATATATTAGTTTGCTAGGATTGCCATAACAAAGTACCACGGACTGAGTGACTCAAACAACAAAAATTTATTTCTCATAGTCCTGGAGGCCAGAAGTCCAAGATCAAGGTGTCAGCAGGTTTGGTTTCTCCTGAGGCTTCTCTCTTTGGCCTGTAGATGGCCATCTTCTCATTGTACCTCCACATCATCTCTGTGCATGTGCACTCCTGGTGTCTCTTTGTATGTCGAAATTCCTCTTCTTATAAGGATACCATTCAGATTGGATTAGGGTCCATACTAATGGGCTCGTGTTAATTGAATTGCCTCTTTAAAGACCCTATCTCCAAATACACTCACATTATGATATATGGGGGCAGGGCTTCAACATATGAATTATAGGGAGAAACAGTTCAGCTCATAACATCAGATATTTTCACTTTTCAAAATATTCATTTAATTTCTTTCATTTTTCAAAATCTTCTTGACTTACAATTGTGTTTTTTTTTTAATGGAGGTGTTTCACAGACATCTAGTCTTCAGAGACTGTTGCTATGGCTTATGAAAGTAAACTTTAACTTCCAAAAAGTGTCTAATTCTGTATTGTTTTCCTATTAATAATTGTGGTCCTAGTACTTATGTTTAAATGGACATCTCTGTTCTCTAAATTGTATAACTAACTTGAATTTTCTTTATTAAGCCCAAAGAGAAACAATTTATTTTCCCTCTGGATTCACAAGATGCACTTGAAGAAGAAGAAAGTGGGAATAATTACTCCAGTGGTTATCAAGATTTATTATAAATCTAAAGTAATTAACATTATTATATTGCATTGGCACAAGGATAGATTTATAGAAGAAAAGACCAGAATAAGGAGTCCAGAAACAGATTCATAGATGGACACTTAAATTATAGCATAATTGGTACTGCTTACTAGTGGTATTAGTCAACTGACTAATAGTGCAAAAAATAAAATTTTAGTGGCCGGCCCAGTGGTGTAGTTGTTAGCTTTGTGTGCTCCGCTTCAGTGGCCAGGGGTTGACAGGTTCAGATCCCAGGCATGGGCCTACTCACTGCTTATCAAGCCATGCTGTTACAGGTGTCTCACATATAAAGTAGAGGAAGATGGGCACAGATGTTAGCCCAGAGCCAATCTTCTACAGCAAAAGAAGAGGATTGGCAACAGATGTTAGCTCAGGGCTTATCTTCCTCACCAAAAAAATAAATAAACAAAATAAAATGGAAATAAAGTAAAAATTTACCCCTATTTCACACCACACACAAAAATCAAGTCCACATATACTGTAGATCTAAATATAAAAATAAAATAGTTAAGTTTCTCAAAGTTAAAATAGTGCAGTTGTTTTCAAAGTGTGATCCCCAGACCAGCAGAATCAGCATCATCTGGAAGGTGTAAAAAATGTAAATTCTTGGACCTCTTTATGACCTAGAGAATTAGACACTCTGGAGATATGTCCCAACAATCTGTGCTTTAAAAGCCTTCTAGATGATTCTGAAGCCCAGTTAAGTTTGAGAACCACATATTAAGGTGAATATCCCATGACCTTGGAGTAAGAGTAAATAATTTATAGGAGTAGATCACGATACCCATAAAGAAAAATATCAATAAACTATATCCAGTTAAAGAGAAAACCTTTTCATCAAAATACAACTTTAAGAGAACGAAAAGTAAATCAAAAACTGGTAGACAAT